CTACTACTTATTCCTGCGTCTTTTGGGATCTTACAAAGCTTCAAACGACGCGTCGACTATTACATTACTCGTTGACGATTTTGATAGTCGACGTAATCGTGGCAGCCCTACTTCATATCTATACATAACTGAGGTTGTCATGTTTCCTCCAGTAGAAGCTATCAGTTAGAACTAATGTAGCTTAACTGTGAGGCAAAACAAGAACAGCAAATCTCAGCCAAATGCCAGAGTAACACAACCATTCTGATAAGTAACTCTGTCAACAAATGAGTGCATGTACAAGGGAAAAAAAAGAAAAATCAACATGATTTTGACTGGTTAAAGTGAAAATCACATATTTAACATACAGACTTAGACACATCTTCCCATCACAACAGTTTTGGCATCAGTACTTCTATTGCTTTTTAATTGAGTAAACTCCTCTAGGAAATGCAAATGCCTCCAGTATTCAGGCTGTTTGAATTCCTGAGATCAGGTCCAGCTTTATTCAGACATTTTCATCTTTTCTTCTTCTATAATGCCACCTTTGTTCTAGATGGTGGGAAAATACAGCAGCTGCTCATCAGCGGGAGACAGTTGCATCGTTTGCACAAGATTTCTTAAACTAAAGTTCTTAGTTAACAGATGCATTTCAACACTTCTACTTTACATGTCCTGAGCAAAAAAAGGCTACAAAGTGAAACTGCCTCAGATTCTTGACACACCCAAAACAAGAGAAACGTAGAATCTTTCTCAGGAACCCCAAAAGGTTGATTGTGTGTTTCACTGGGAGAAACGTTTCGTCACTCATCTAAAGTGACTTCTTCACTCTCAGCTGACTGCAGGTTTCCCCAATCAAGACTTTCTCAAGAACAAAAATATCCTAATAGCATCTTTAACATTGACTCCACAACAGATCTGAGCTGCAGTGATACTGACTTGTCAACAAATCATAAATGCTCTTAATAATTCGCTCTACGTATTACCTGAGTCATCTCTTGCAGGTAGGGCCCAAAGTGCTCCTTGGTGATGTTGGGGAGGCAAAATGAGGGCATCACCTCCGTCTCGGTGAAGTCCAGCCCCCATGTTTTAGTGAAGAAGTCAGATTCCCTTTTAGCGAGCCGAGGGTCATTCAGCGCAGCTGGGAGGTTGACCTTCGAGCTATAAACTGTCCATCGGTCGTGCTCCGCCACCACAGATGGACCATTACACAGGCCCTGCCCCTCACCTGGAGGACCACATGGAAATAAAGTCAGTGCTTTCATTTTCTGCGGAGAACAACAACTCATAATTTAATCATCTGCCATGGTTTCTTGGTTTTGTTTCCATGTTCCTGAACTTAAATCACAGTTGTGGCTTTAGATAGCCAGTATGTAAATAAAAATGTATACTTAAAAAAATATTAGCATCACTGTTTATGTTTGTATGTAAACTTTAAATGACTGATGACCCTTAGCGCAGATGTATAGATGAACATCTAGATTTTCACCACCT